TTAATACACAAAATTACGTTTTGCATAATAATATATATATATTTTTTTGCAGAAGATAATGTGCCGGAAACACAACATCTTGCCACTTCTCCATTTCCGTTGATATCACGTTCATGGCCTCTAAGACACACGAGAACTAAATTCATTTCAGTAAAACTTGCATGTGCTATTTTCGTGTACATTGGATCCTATAAGTTATCCTTTTTTAAAGATATAACATAAAAATGTCCAAGATGTTTTAAAAGAAGAAGGTGTAATGTCACACGCAATTTGCATAAACCTCAGAATTATTCAAATGGTGGGTTACCGTAGAGAAACATTTTGGAAAGTGTAGTTTCATATACTAGTAAATAAAAACGTGTCGGATGTCTTTGACGTCCTTACATGATATAAGTGCAATGTGCTTGTCTGATATTCTATGTTGCGTTATATTCTTCAACAATCGATAGGGTAGTATAAGCAGGAAAAGAAGGCATCTGCAAGAGGATTGATGTTTCAATTCTCTAGACCTCCAGTGGAAATACGTATAGGCGTAAATTACAAACTATTGTAAAGAACCACAGCTCATTAAACTTTCCTCAAATGCGCGTGACGAAACTGAAAACAAAACCGCAAATATAACAACGCTGTGTGAAATTCCCATGCAGTTTTCAGCTGGCAATTACAAATATTTTTAAAAATCCTTTGCTACTGATCGAAGGCTGGAGTGAATAAAGGACGGAATTGAAAACTTCCTGCATATTGTAATTTATGGCGTTTACCAAGACAAAAACTTATGCTAAATAAAAGTACAATGTGCGTGTGCATGTATGTCTATATACATTTGCATGTGCGATGTGCTGAAGTGATATCTTGTTTGTCATAATGTCCTCCTAAGAGAGTACGTAAATCCTTAACCATTCAAAGTAAATTTAAGCCCACCGGATTCTTAATCCTAGCATATTTGTGTTTTTTATTATGCCTAATCTGTTTACTTCTAGTTTGTTTGTTTGTGCGTGAGAGTAAGAGTACGTGTGCGTGTGAGTATAAGCGTGCGTGCGCTTGCGTGTTTATGCGGGAGTGCGCGCGTGCGTGTGTGTCGGGATGTAACTAAAATATTGCAGGCTGCAGGGTTTACAATATTCACATTCTCATGTCAATCTGCATAATGTGTGTATAAAAAAATAATAAGTATTATTTACATGATGGAGATAAGCTCAACATATGTCGATCGTGTATTGGAATGCAGGCACATGCAATTTGGTGAACTGAAAAGCGCATCAAAATTCCAAGTTTAATGAAAACCCTGAAAACTCACAAGTCAAAAACACGACTATCAGCTGCACTATCTTTAGGTTTTAGTCGCCAAGCTATACACTATCTGGCGAACCGTAAGCAACAGAGAGGCACCTTGGCAGAAAACGCGGCGTGTGACGTCACACAAAAATGACGTAGTGAGTGAGTTAAGATTTTAAGTCACAGCGGCAATATTTCAGCCATATCGTGACTAAATCAAGTTAGTCAAGTAACAATTACAATTACAGGAAAATTATAAAATTGTGTCATTGAAGGACAGTAAAACAACTAGATTATCACAGATATAAATATAAAACTAGTAACTGAATCTAAAATATTTTAACTATACATGACAATACGATATAAAAACAGGCTATAGACTACCAACAACTAAAGGTAGATCACCATACCAGGGACCATGGGGACTTACAGTACATTTCCAACCTGCATGGACCCTAGCAGGATTTACACCATCCCTTCAGCCGTTAGCAGTTTAGCAAATCTAGCCATACATTAAAAGAAGAGGTATTCTGCGATTAAAAAAGTAGAACATTTTAATTCGTTAGAATATAGTTTGGTTATATATTGTAATGGTAATTTTATACGGCGTTGGGTAAGAGATGGTTCATCTGCCTCGACGTAGAGACTGTCAACAGGAGATGTTCAGAATGACCCTAGACAAAGTCTCAGACCTTGGTGGTGGACAGAATCTAATAGTTTTAGGTTGCTTTTGCAGGCTCCACCATATACGATGGAGCCATAATCAAGCTTCGATCGGACCAGTTACCTATAAAGGTGTAGGAGGGTAGCTTGATCCCTCCCCACTTTGAATTAGAAACGACTTTCAAAAAATGCTTTCAGGCATTTAGTTTTTAGGGATTTGATACGCGGAAGAAAGGTGAAATAGGAGTCGAAAATCCGACCTAAGAACTTGTCCTCTTTTACAACTTTGATGGGAGTGCCATTTAAAGATAGTTCTGGGTCCTTATGGGGCCCTAAACCTCCAGACTCCCGTCCTCCACGGACACAGGGTCGCAACCCACGGCAAACGGCTTGGTGGACCAAATATACCCCCGGGTCCACAGCGGGGGGATTGAAGAGTGCTTAGCTTAACACCCACCACGAGGAGGTGGCTCTTGACGGGTGTTCAAATAAAGTACATATCTCCTCTTGCTGATACTAGCACTTGTTTCGAGGGAAACTGTCAGCACAGACCATCAGGAGTGTGTGTATGTGAGTTAAGTTTTAGGCGCTTTTAGCAATATTCCAGTAATATCATGGCGGGGGACACGCGAAATTGTCTTCACACATTTTACCCATACATTTGGGGTGACGAGCGAACAATTTAATCACTAGGCTATCCCACCGCCCATCATTGAAAGTCACATCGGCAATATCTCAGTGAGTGAGGGGCGGTAGGGTAGCCTAGTGGTTTAAGCGTTCGCCCGCTACGCCGAAGACCCTGGTTCGATTCCCCCACATGGGTATAGTGTATGAACTCCACTTTTCTGGTGTCCCCGCCGTGATATTGCTGCAATATTGCTAAAAGCGGCGTAAAACAAAACTCACTTACTCACTCAGTGAATGAGTGAGAGAGTGAGCTTTAGTGAATTTCAGTGAGTGATCGAATGAGTGAGTGAGTGAGTGAGTGAGTGTTCACTGCACGAAAGGCAGTAAGCACCTCCAACACTGCGCTAAACTCTAACAAATGGAGTGTTTGAAAAAGGTATCCCCGCGCAAATAACACGTTATCGTGAATTTTATGATACAGTGGAACAATTACTACATACAATTGTTTTGAAACTAGCAAAAATGCATGTGTTTTTCTAGTATCTATTCTATTTTAAATACATTACCTTAGAATTTTCACAAAATTGTACAAATAAACTAGGAAATTGATTGGTCATTCACATATATATTTTGAAAACATTGCAATGACAAAATATTTTTGGGCAGGCAAAATTTGGAATGCATTACATTTCTATACAATTACCAATAATGGACAAACCCCATTGTGTCCCCAGTATTACTAATAGGATGAAGATATTTAAGTATACAAGTATAGACACATAACTTACAAATCCCAAGGCGCCCATATACTGTCTTCAGAACTATCACCTCGACCAGAAATGGACCACGGTGGCGTGTGTGTGGCAAACGTAAAAAATGTGTTGAGGATTTTTTTGGGAAGAATAGCCACCCACGATCCAAGAGTGTTTGGCCAATGAAACGAACAGAATAGACACATAAAATCACATTGTAATCGTAGACGGAACAGCCGCCAAACACAGTATGTCGATATTCTCAAGTTATATTAACCTTTTTGAAAACATTAAGAGACTTTTTTTTTTCTTATGTTTCAATTCTATGAAGTATCCTCATTGTCATAGAAGTTCCATCAGTTGTTTGTACTCACTGTTTACAAATTCGTTATTCAATATTTACCACCAACTGTAGCTGTTGCTATACTGACACACATTGAAAACGCTAAGCCCATTTTAGCAATGTCTAACAAAGCTTTATGAAGCAATTTCATTTATCACACGGAAATATAGTGATGTAAAGTTGCCGAATACAAACATATGCACATCTAGGTTCGAACCCTTTTCATGTTTCTGGCATGGGTACAGTTCTCTGGCAGATTCCTTGGAATTTTTGGGGTGCACGATTGGACGCATAAAAGGCACCATGGTTCAACCGTTCCACTAGCAGTCACAAAATGCCAAGGCTCGGAGAACAGCAGAGGGAACAAGCTATCGGGATGCTGTTGGTGGGAACATCACAAAGTGGGGTCGCCCGCCACTTCAGAGTGAGCCCATCCTCAGATCCCCAAATCGTCATCAGCAAACTGGAAGCGTCCGTGACCGATCCCCGACCAGGCCACACTCCGGTCACGACGGCACGTCCAGACCGGCAGATCCGACGAGTTACCCAAAGGAAACCGCTTTATATCCCTTAAAGTACCTCATTCCTTCCACGCATTCTGATTGATTTGACGTAGTTTCGCACATAATATCCATTGATAGTTGGGACGAGTTTTCGTGGACGTTACGGACAGGGGCAAGTGGTGACCAATGGGTCAAGCCCCTCCTGCTTGACTGTATTGGTTTTACAAGGGATAATTATTTCAGTGCAAAAATAGTCAAGGATCTTTTGATAGCGTTATTTTTCATTTGGTTATTGACTTCTTTAAAGAAATCGATTGTTTCAAATTTTGAGTAATTTAGGTTTTGTAAATAGATAAACGGTATCTTATAATTGGTAGTATAAATTAGCAACATATATTGTTAGTGGATGTATAGGCAAAGGGGCTTGAGGTACCAGAAAGGTAATTTCCTCCTGAGAGGGTACATAATGCCACGTCATTCACAGAGTATTTATTTCTACAACGTTTTTAATCGGGGAGTATGAGTTCATTTAATCTTTAGCTAAATTTGTCATACTCGCCAACATTTGAATCCAGCTACTGTCCATGCGGGTAGCAAAAGAATTGTAAGACCCCATGGTGCCTAGTATGGTGATCTACCTTAAGTTATTGGTGATCTATAGCCCGGTTTTATATTGCATAGAAATAAAACGTCTATAATTACAAAGGACAAAGTCCACTAGAATACCTTAAAACTAGATATTCTAGTTGCCTTTCCGTCCTTTGTTGACGGCGCTAATAGTGTGGCTTTATTTGTTATCAATGACTTGTTTTAGCCACGACATGGCTAACACAAACAGTCCGGTATTCCGACTGCCTATGTAAGGACGACTGCGAGTAGGATAAAGCTGTTCGAAAGAAACTCCTTGAGGTTGAGCTACACATCCACTCACCTCATGTACATCCCCGCCGGCAAATCAGCTCATTACAATCTTGTCATGTATTTATCATGTAATGGATACCCAGCTAAAGAAGGTTAGACTCAAATTCTTAATTCTGAGCTGGTTCCCTTGCATTAACAACATGAAAACAACGACATAGAACATTGTTCCTCGAGTTGTTCAGATCAGCTGAAATAAAGACAGTCTGTAGAAACCTCCACACATCTGGTTGTTGTTGCCAGCACATGTAGTGTTGCAGTCCCCTTCGTTCTGGACAGTATACTTCACATGGTCATAGGAGTTTCCACATACACAATGCACATAAGCCTGAAAGAAAAAGTTAGTATGTCATTGTGTTGTCTTGCATATAAAGTAACAATATAATTTCACATTCATCATAGTTACAAGTGACAAGTTTATTTGCATTTAAGGCCACATGGCCCATAGTGCTTCTGCACTTGTATAATGTTTGACCGCCTCCGTGGTGTAGTGGTTAGAGAGTCCGCCCGGAGAGCGGAAGGTCGCGGGTTCGATCCCCGACCACGTCATACCAAAAGATGTTCAAATACGGTACCTGTTGGTCCCTGCCTGGCGCTCGGCATTAATGGGTACAACAAGGACTAGTCGGCTCGGAGTCAGTATAATGTGTCTGAGTGGGGTATCCATGCTTCATTGCGGCATTGTCTCCCAGTGGGCTAGGCACTATAAAACCAGCTTAAGTCTGGGCTAGTACAAGCAGCCGCACATACACATACACGCCTGCACGTCGTCATATGAGCGAAATATTCTCAAGCACGACGTTAAATCCATTTTCACCTCACCTCACTTGTATAGTTTTCAGTTTATGCAGTGGGAAGATTCCGTTTCAAATACAATGATCCATTTTTGATAACTGAAAGGATTTTTGAATGACATAACTGGTATCAGTGGGAGGATAACTATAATAAGAAAGCTGCAAAAAAGTATTTCTCTCCTAGACTGGAAATAAGCACATTCCAAGAGGAAGCGAAACGCGTCGTCAGGGATACGTGAATTACGATGTGTGCACAAACTCATTTGGGGATCATCATTTGCTTTTCACAGTTGATACTGAACTTTCAAATTCATCATACTACTGCATGAAAAGAAGTTGTGACGGTTGTGTGATGTTGACTGTGCAGTGATAGAACTAACCACTCGCATAGTCCGCTTTGCTTCAACTGGGATGTGTCTCGTGTTGGATGAATATTGCGACTGAAGTTCAAACATGATTTCTGATGTTTGATTTGTGTTGTATCAGGTGTCAGGTTGAATAAAGTTCAGTTGTTCTGTTTTGTTGCGTTGATTTGACTGCAATGGAAAGGTGTTTTCCATCTCGATTCAACTGAGTTGTGTAATATTTTGTTGGTAATAGGCATCGACTACACTGCAAAGCAGCCTTTTGTATTCCCAGGTGATGTGGGGTAGTGACCCCTTTCGAAATATTGATCATAATTCGTTTGACCTTGCCAGGTTAGATATACTTTCTCGCGAGAGTTACGTTCAATGTTAGGATGCAGGGTACAGAGAGAGTACTTACCTGTAGTCCTGCAAGAAGAAAGTTGCCCTGTCTGCACTGAGTCAGACACAACTCGTAAGTCATGGAGTCGTTCACGATGTGTTCGTCGTTGATTAGTCTTTCCTTGTCATCCAGGTAGCATCCCAGATACACATACCCTGCAAACAGAGCATTGGGTAACATGTAGGGCTTACTTCTTACATACTGAAACAAATGTAAGCTTCTATTCTTTGCTTGATGTTTATGTAATGCAGTGTGTAAACAATGGCGACTTTATTACACCGAAGAAAAGTGGTTTAACTGAAGAAAATAGCATATCGGGCTCAAAAAGGTTTTGGTTTGAACTGAAAACTTTGAACACTTCTACCGTAGCAAAAAACAATATTAGTTTGATTGAGTGGCATCGACATTTTAGAAATCTTTTCAACTTCGAAACTGAGAATAATACTGATAACTTTGTTGACGATGCAAATCTATCAACATCACCTGATACTAATTTTGCACTCACAGAAGATGAGCTGGATTATCCTATTAGAAGGGAATAGATTAAATGCTAAAACCCAATAAATCAGCAGGAATTGATGGCACAATTAAGAATTCCGCAAATATCATAGCACCACAACTAGAGTTATTATTCATTATTATATTAGAAAAAAGTACTTTTCCAACTAGTTGGACAACTATTGGCCTGCTCCGTAAACAAGGCAGTTTCGATAATCCAAATAAGTACACAGGCATTACTCTTCTGAGTATTTTTAGTAAGATTTAAACTTCTATCATTAAAAACAGATTAGTGTCTTTGGGAGAAGCATTGACTATGATAAATGAATCTCAGGCAGGATTTAGACATGGATTTAGGAAAACTGACAATATGTTTATATTACAAAGTATTATACAGATATACCTCAACATCAAAAGTGATAAACTATATGCTGTTTCCGTTGATTTCGAAAAAGCATTTGATTCAGTTGACAGAGAAAAGCTATGGTCTATTTTAATAAGCATGGTCTCAGTCTGAAAATGAAAAAAAAATATTCATAATATGTATGAACATGTTAAAGCTTGTGTCAAGAATAACAATGACTTCTCAGATCCTTTGAACTACAACTCTGGTTAAGACAATGCAGTATACTTAGACCATTTTTAATCTCATTTTTTTATCAATGAATCAGGATGACAAATTGAAAGCAATTGTGTGTATGGAATACGGTTACACCCTGACCTGGTACATATTTTCTTCTGCTTTTTGCTGTCGATATCGTATTATTCTCACGCACTGTTGCAGGTTTAAAGACCTATAGAAGAACCTGAGAGTTATTGAGGCAAATACAAAGTATCTATAAATAGATACAAAACCAAGGTGGTAGTTTTCAAAAAGGGGGAAACGAAAAATGGTGGCATAAAATCTTGCAAGCACAAAAGGTCATGATTGGTATCTGTAAACAATTAAGTGTACATGGAGCCATTAATCTACGTTCATACTTTAAAATATTTGATGCCAAAATTAGGTCAGTTATATTGCATGGAGCTGACATCATGAGTTTGAATTATTACAATGATATCGAAAGAGATCGTAAAATTTCTTGGTGTTACATCAAATACGACGATTACAAAGAATGTGATAGATATCCTATGCGAGTGAGTGAGTGAGTTAATATTTATAGTCACATCGGCAATATTTCAGCCATATCGTAACGAGAACAGTTTATAATTATATTATAGATCAATAAAGTAGGACATTAAAAAACCTGTTGATGAAGAACAGTAAAACTACTAGTGTATCACAGATATCTATTTAAAACTAGCATTTAAATCTAAAATATTGGAACTATAAATGACAATACAATATAAAAACAGGCTATAGATTGCCAACAACTGAAGATAGATCACCACACTAGGGACCATGGGGACTTACAGTACATTTGCTTCCTGCATGGGCCCTAGCTAGATTTACATCATCCCTTCAGCTGTTAGCAATTGAGATATATCTAGCCATACATTAAAATTACACGTATTCTACGATTAAAAACCGGAAAGTTGAAATTTACTTTGAATGTTTTGGGACTTACATACCCTCTCAGGAGGACAATAATTTTACAGTACTTTAACCCCCTCGAGGATACAGCCACTAACAATCTCAGTTACTATTTCAAACTTCCAATCACAAAATATTTAGCTATTTACAAATCTGTTAACAAATTCAATTCTTTTAAAAAAGCAATAATTAAATGAGGACTTATATTAGTAAAAAGATCCTTCATAGTTCGGGATTTGAAATAGATATCCCTTGTGATGGAGTACTCAACACAGTCAAGCAAGACATGCTTGACCGTGATTCGTTCATCACAAGGGATACAAAATGGAGGATCCTCACCTTTTAATAGGTACTCATGGGTATATCTTGTGTGGCCAATACGACATCGTCGTATGATGACCTCTTCAAATCTGGACTGACAACCCAAGTAAGTGTAACCGATAGTTGGTTTTATTTCATGTAATTTATTGATACCTACTTGGGTGTCCCTTCTTCTTTGCATCAGATCACGTATATAAGATCTTATAGCAGCTTTGTAATCAGAGTATGGGATCAGAAGTGGTGTCACAGATATGTTGATTTCCGCCTTAGCAGCAAAATCAGCCATTGTGTTACCAGAAATGCCAACGTGGCTGGGTAACCAACAAAAGACGATGTCGCATTGGCCAGTAGCAAGCTCATTATACAATTCAATAATTTCTAATAAAAGTGGATGTTTAACAAGAAAGATTTTTAATAGCCTGAGGACAAGAAAGGGAATCGGAAAAGATGATGTTTTGCTCATATTTACGGTGTTTATTAATATATTTAAGAGCTGTTGATATGGCGTTAGCTTCTGCTGTGAAAATAAGTCTGTTATTTGGTAGACGAGAAGATATTGTTCGGGATCCAATGACAGTGGCACATGCCACCATCCTTGGACCCATCTGTAAATAAGGATTTGTGAGTATTATATTTATTTTTTAATTGATTATATTCTTGTTTATATTGTAATTCATTAGTTACAGATTTCTTAAACTTTGTCAGAGTTAGGTCAACTTCAGCCCTCACCAGTTGCCAAGGAGGAGAAGAAAAAAGACGGAAAGGAGCAATACTTGCCAGCTCAGTGCCGGCAGCAGAAATGAAAGGCTTAATTCTGTGCCCAAGAGGCGGAACAAGAGAAGGTTTTTTGTTGTATAAATCCTCATAGAGGGGATTAAAGACACAGTTAAATGCAGGGTTAGACTCGCTAGAATATAGTTTAGTAATGTATTGTAAAGATAATTTTATACGACGTTGTGTAAGAGAAGGCTCATCTGCTTCAACATATAGACTATCAATAGGAGAGGTTCTAAAGGACCCAAGACAAAGTCTTAGGCCTTGGTGGTGGACAGAATCAAGTAGTTTTAGGTTGCTTTTGCAGGCCCCACCATATACGATGGAGCCATTATCAAGTTTCGAGCGGACCAATGATCGATATAGGTGGAGGAGCGTAGCTTGATCCCCTCCCCACTTTGAGTTGGAAACAACTTTCAACAAATCATGTGCCTTCGGGCATTTGGCTTTAAGTGATTTAATATGCAGCAAAAAAGTTAAATGGGAGTCGAAAATTAGACCCAAGAATTTGGCCTCCTTAACAACTTTGATGGGAGTGCCATTTAAAGATAGTTCTGGATCTTTATGCGGCTTATATTTTCTACAAAAGTGTAGACAATTAGTTTTGGACTTGGAAAATTTAAAGCGGTTTTCAAGACACCATTTATTTATTGTATTTAAACACAACTGCAATTGCCGTTCAATAGTATGCATATTTTTACCACGACAAGAAATATTAAAATCACCCACAAAAAGTGATCATCAATTGAATCGTTTAAAACCTTGGATGAACTGTTTATCTTGATACTAAACAATGTGACAGACAAAATACTGCCTTGCGGGACACCCTGATCCTGATTGTAATGGTCAGACAGGGTTGAACCCACTCGGTCTTGAAATTGTCTGTCATTTAAATAAATTTGATATAAATTGAGGCAAACGGCCTCGTAATCCAAACGGCCTCGTAATCCAAAGTCATGTAAATCTTTTAAAATCCCATGTTTCCATGTCGTGTCGTATGCTTTTTCTAAATCGAAAAAGATCAACACTGCATGTTGTTTATTAATGATGGCATTTTTCACAAAAGACTCTAAACGTACTAAAAGATCGATGGTACTACGGTTTTTACGGAAACCACATTGTATATTAGTTATCAGGTTATTGGATTCCAAGTACCGAACAAGTCGATTGTTGATCATACGTTCCATGGTTTTGCAAACGCAGCTAGTCAGTGAAATTGGTCTATAATTAGCGGGATCAGTATGATCACGTCCAGGTTTAGGTATGGGAACATTAATAGCATCCTGCCACGACGAAGGAAAATTTCCAGATGTCCAAATGTCATCAAAAATATGTAAGAGCGTCTCTAAACATGAGTCAGGTAAGTGTTTCAGGAGTTGATAATGTATGTTATCAGCCCCTGAAGCAGTATCATGAGCCTGATCAAGAGCAGTATGTAGCTCATGTATCGAAAAAGGTTCATTGTAGTCTTTCCCATTATCTGAATTGAAATTAAGAGATTTCTTTTCTTGCTGTTTTTTTTTATATTTTTGGAATTCAGGTACATAGTTAGATGAGGAAGAATGTTTGGCAAAAGTTTCTCCAAGTTTATTGGCTATGTCAGATTTATCAGTTAATAATTCATCTCCATCTTTGAGATGCTTAATGCTAGATTTAGAGCCCTTACCTTTGATTTTTTGGATCATATTCCAGACTTTAGACATCGGCGTACGCGAATTAATGTTTGATACATAATTTTGCCAAGATTGGCGTTTACTTTGTTTAAATGTTCGCCTTGCTTTAGCATTTAAAATCTTAAATTTATTCAAATAATGCACCATGGGGTGTCGACGGAAATAATGTTCTGCCTTTTTCCGTTCCTTTCTAGCTTGTTTGCATTTATCAGTGAACCATGGTTTCCGAACATGTGGAATTGCATAGGACTTTGGTAAACACTCGTCAGCTATGATATTCAGTTCATTAGAAAAGTAATTTATAGCATCACGAACATGAACGAAAAGTTCAGGTGTAAGTTTTGTAGCACAGAGAGTTTCATATAAAGGATCGTGATGATGGAAGAACATCAGATGGGTTTATAGGTTTGAGGACTGTGGGAAAATGGTCACTTCCAAAATGGACTGACCATTCAAACTCAATCAGTAGATTAGTGTCAGTAATAGACAAATCAAGAGCTCAATATGTTCCTGTGCCTGGGTGTAAATATGTGTTTGAACAATCATTATATATGAATAAATCATTGTTGGAAATAAACTCCTCCAGTATTTTACCTTTAGCGTTTATAGTTGTACCACCCCAGAGTGGGTTGTGGCCATTTAAGTCACCCATAATAATACAGGGTTTCGGAAGTTGATTGTAAAGGGATTGAATATCAGCCAGCTGAAGAGCTGAAGATGGCGGAATATATAGCGAGCAGAGAATAAAAGCAACGTGCAGAGTAATGCGTACTGCAACGGCTTGAAGATTAGTTTTAAGCAAAACAGGGCTTTGGAGTACATTATGCCCTACAAGGATGAAAGATCCTCCCGTGGCCCTATCACACGGAGGAGAAAAAGAATGATATGCATTGAACTGACGTAAATTGAAATTATCTGACTTCTTAAGGTATGTTTCTTGAAGACAGAATGCTGATGGACTAAAGTCCTGGACCAATAGTAGTAAGTCATTAAAGTTGGTCTTCAGTCCTCGACAATTCCACTGTATAATATTGTTTTGGGAAGCTATCTTTTGGGTGGAATGATTGGGGATCTACCCCGTACCGTCTTAGAGGGCGACATGCTATGCGCCCGTGGCAGGATGTTTTCAGCCACATCCATACTTTCGAGAGATCCAAACTTATTAGATAAATGGATCTGATTATTTGACCCCTTTGAAATCCGATCACTTGGAACTTCAGATGTTGGGTTAGTAGTTGGTTTGTCTCTATGTAATTGCTTTCCTTTCTTCCCTTTGGAGTGACCACTGGTTGGTTTCGATGTAGATGGTATAGATGGTTTATCAATCAAAATCTCTTCTGTCTGGGAACCTGACATAGACCTAGTGACTGGTGAAATAAGCTGGGTAGATTGAATGGTTGATGTTATAGGTTTGTCTGACTTGACCCAGGTCAAGTCAGTCTGACATCCAGTTGAGGACATTACTACAGTGCTAGTGACTGCAGCGGAATATGTAACGTGCAGAGGAGTTGAGGACTGATTTGTGAATAGCTTTTTTGCTTCAAGATATGAAATGTTCTTTTCACATTTTAGTTTCAAGATTTTTGATTCCCGTTGATATACACGGCAGGACTTGGACGACGCGGAATGTGGGCCGTCACAATTTGCACATTTATATTCTCTTTGACAATCTGTATCCTCATGGCAGTCTCCACAACGATAACACACCACAGGGTTTCGACACGAGTGCGACCCGTGACCAAAATGTTGGCACTTATAACAACGGAGTGGATTGGGGATATACACATCCACCCCGATGTTAAATAACCTGCTTTGATCGATTGCGGGAGAGAAGATCTAGAAAACGTTAAGAGGTATGTGTTTGTTTTGGTTACAATGCCCTCTTTCTTGAAGGTGAAACGTTTCACTGCCGTAACACCCTGATCTTGAAGCTATTCAGCAATGTCCTCTTCACTCATATCACACAGACAGCGGGCCCTGTCACGTATGATACCATGACAAGTATTAAGAGTCCTGTGCACAGACACAGCAACCTCGACATTTGCAAATGTTTTAATAGATAACAAATTGAGAGACTGCTGCCCCCGTGCACATTCCACCAGAAGGGAACCAGTACGGAGACGGGTGACATTTTTCACCTCGCCACAAATCCCAGGGATAGCTTTAGAGATAGCAAACAGGTTTAGCCTAATTGGAAGAAAATCCGTAGCTTCGATAACCAGGAAGCGAGCCCATGATTCGACGTTTGCAGAAGTATTTTCAGTAGAGTGATCTATTTCATGTAGACGCCTCTTCTTTTCATTTCGAGTTGAACCAGCTTGTATTTGAGACATGGCTCCCCACCCACCATGGAGTGTCAACAAGGACGATGTCAATATGCACCGGATATCCAAGATGCTGACACCTGGGATACAGGGATGGTATACTGCAGAGAATAAGACTTGAATAGCTGCATTTATCTACCAATTTAATGCTTGACTGGTTCGGCCCTTAAGAAATTGGAGACATACATCATTCAGAGGTCAACATCACCAGATTGGCCCATGAGCCACCGCCTTCTGGCATAGGATTCTAGGCAAGTTAATATAATCAATAATTTTTGGACAATAGTTCAAAATACCCAAGACCCAATGATAATTTGAATGTGCAAATATAATCACCATGCACAGGGCTTGGCGTGACCAGCCGATTGATAGAACCGGGCCAGTTCTACCACCTGTCTAGGTGAAGTAAGGGTCGAAGTGGTGTGTTGGGCAAAAGGAACACAGTTCCAGGCTCCAAGTGCCCTGAACCACAGGACTCCCGCCCTCCACCTACACAGGGGCGCAACCCACGGCAAACGGGTTGGTGGACCAAACATGCCCCGGGTCCACACGGGCGTTGAAGAGCTCTTAGCGTTACCCAGCACCCACCACGAGGAGGTGGCTCTTCACATATGCCAAATGGTGTTTAGAAAATGGTTTTAGATTATACATTCTGCATTGGTGGCTAAGTGACACATATAAAAAAATGATGCCCTAAATTTTTGTATAATTGGATGTTTAAATTTCCCAGGAGGTCGGCAACCCAGGACTCCTGGGTGAGTGTGAAAAACTATGTGCAAGAATAAATGTTTTAATCGTGATACGACATGGAATGTATCAAAAAGAAATGGACACAAAGAAAATATTATTGCCATTTTAACAACTTTCTTACCTGAACTGTAAGAAATATATTATTCAATGAATTAATGTGGTGCATTTCCTTATGACTAACCGTGTTTGATGAAGGTTCTTGCACCGGGAGCTTGAACATCAGATGTTGACACCGATGAATTGTAGAGGTGGCACTGCCCTACATGATGTGTCAAAGAAGCGCATGTGTCATCCTGGGCACAGAGTATCCCACAACCCAGCTGACTCTCCATGTGCAGGACGTTGGATGGGATCTCTCCAGACAGTTTATTATTCAGCTTGTTCTGTCTCACAAAGTATTGATTCAGATAATTCCCCCTGTGCAATAAAGACTGAAATGAAGAGACAGAGGACAATCACCATCATTTTCATCCTTCCTCACAGACGTTTAACAAGCTATGAATATATAACAACTGATAACAGTCCCGAAACAGTTCCTCTGCTACCGATATATGAGACTTTACATTACATCGACGCTCCCCACCCTTTCTCAATCACTAACTGGATGCATCAACCATTCTTTGAAAAGCACAGTGGGCAGAACACGTCGATCTATCTGAGAACAAAGATGAACTAAATGAAATAAAAAACAACCCGCAAGAGTGCATACACTTAAAACTGTGACAACAGTAAGTGAAACATTAACGATCCAACAATGTCAAAACGATTGTTGCTATAGGCACAAACACTGCACAACTCCCAACACATCTCTCAAGTGAGGCGACCGCCTCCGTGGTGTAGTGGTTAGAGCGTCCGCCCGGAGAGCGGAAGGTCGCGGGTTCGATCCCCGACCGCGTCATACCAAAAGACGTTAAAATATGGTACTTGTTGGTCCCTGCCTGGCGCTCGGCATTAATGGGTACAACAAGGACCGGTCGGCTCGGAGTCTGTATAATGTGTCTGAGTGGGGTATTCATGCTTTACTGCGGCATGGTCTCTCATTGGGCTAGCACTATAAAACCAGCTTCAGTCTGGGCTAGTACAAGCAGCCGCACATACACATACACACGCATGCACGTCATATGAGCGGAATATTCTCAAGCACGACGTTAAACCCAATTTCACCTCACCTCACCTCACCTCTTACCTCACCTCACCTCACTCCTCACCTCACACGAGGCATCTTACAATATGTATGCCTCTTAAGAATATTGTTCATATGTTCTTAAGAGAGTATGTGAATTGAAAATTAGCATAGCATTTCAGCCATATAGTGAGTGAACGAATTATGTATAAGAAACATTTGTCACAAAGGACAGTAAAACATTAGCAAGATGTCACAATGTGAGTCTAGAAACTTACCCTTTCAACGATTAATAACAAACAATTTTAACACAAAGACCAGTATGACGTTTAATACCATTTCTGTACGAGCTATAAACCACCTCAGTGGGCGTTCTGGGGACTTCCTGTACTTCAACTTCATGCATGAACCCACAACAGGATTTAATCATCACTTTGGTAAAAGATAGTTGTAGATAACTGATAAGTTATGGACAGCTTTAGCTAATACCAATCTATTTTCCACACTGAAGGGAAAACAATATATAATTACATGAGATATACAGGGTGAAAGAAATACCAGTGATGTGGTTTACGTCACATCGGCAATATTTCAGCTTTATCGTAACAAAAGAAGGTTATACATTAGGAATAAACACATTTATACTCTTGTAAAACAATAGTAAAACAACAACTAGGTTATCAAATATTGTTCAAACTAGCTTGTGAGTGTCACTTTTCCCCGACTTATTATCAATTATGTAATTGTCTTATCCCATCATCAGTTGTACAGTTTTGTAGAGCAAACTGTGCTCTTTCTGGGTATATATTGTACTTCACCATTTTAGCATTGTTTACGGGATATGTTTGTTTTTGTGTCCCAATACAGATTATTCAATTTTGCTCAACTATTACGATGTCAGAAGTATGATTACACAATGCCATTTAGAAAGTAGCAAATGCAGCATATGTTATATTTGGGATTACACTTTCTAAGTAAAGTACACATTCTAGTACTTTTGTTTGGTTGAGTCCCATCCGGGATTCGAACCCACACCCTCAGAGTCAGGCACCAAATCGCCAGCACTCAAAGTCAGCCGCCAAACCCGCTCAGCCACCGCAACTTCCACAAAGGGGTACTAGACTACCAGTTGTCCGACTTCCATGTTTTTCCTATATGCCTGAGTGATTGCCTCTTGAGCTAATTAACAGTTCAGTAGTCAGTGTGCAGTCGAAGCTGACCTTGCATATTTTCTTGACCCTGGTTGTTGGAATAACGGTAAATAAACTCGATATTACTTTTATTCACACTTGTCTTGGTTTTTTAAGTGTTTTGTAGGTGTATTGTACCACCTTCAAGCGGAAACATATGTTGTATTTGTACAGATTCTAGTACTTTTGTTGGGTTGAGTCCCATCCGGGATTCAAACCAACTCACACTCCTAATCGCCATCAAACAAAGTCAAAATATAGCATATGTTACATTTGACCACTTTCTAATGGCATTGGGGGGTTGAAGTAGCGTAAAATTATTGTCCTCCTGAGAGGATACGTAAGTCCCGAAACATTCACAGGAAATTTATATTTACCAGCTGTTTTAAATGTAGTACTTTGTCATTTTAATTTAGGCTAAATTTGACTTCAATCGCCAGCGGCCATAATGGATCCCTATACTAAACAATGGCCAGATTGGATCCCAATAATAAACTATGGCAAGACTGACCCATATAGTGAACGATAGCCAGACTTGATCCCTACAATAAAAGATGGTCAGGATCCCTATACTAAAAGATGGCCAGATATGACCTCGATAATAAAAGATGGCTTGATTGCATCTCTACAATAAGAGATGGATAGAGTTTACCCTTAAAATAAAAGATAGCCGGATTGGATCCTTGTGATAAAAGATAGCCAGATTCGATCCTTATGATGAAAGGTGGGCAGATTAGATCCGTCTAGGAACATATAGCCTGACCGGATACCTATAATAAAGGGTAGCTGGATTGGATCCCCATAATAAAAGATGGCTAGATTGGACCCCTATAATTAAAGATGGCCAGATTGGATCCCTATAATAAAGGGTAGCTGGATTGGATCCCTATAAGAAAAGATGGCTAGATTGGATCCCTATAATAAAACATGGCCAGATTGGATCCCTATAATAAAAGATGGCTTGATTGCATCTCTACAATAAGAGATGGATAGATTTTACCCTTAAAATAAAAGATAGCCGGATTGGATCCTTATGATAAAAGATGGCCAAATTGCACCCCAATAATAAAAGATGGCTTCATTAGATCTCTTTAACAAAAGATGGCTTTTTTGTACCTTCTAATAAAAGATAGCCAGATTGGATCCTTATGATAAAAGATGGCCAGATTCGATCCTTATGATGAAAGGTGGGCAGATTGGATCTGTCTAGGAACATATAGCCAGACCGGATACCTATAATAAAGGGTAGCTGGATTGGATCCCCATAATAAAAGATGGCTAGATTGGACCCCTATAATTAAAGATGGCCAGATTGGATCCCTATAATAAAATATGGCCAGATTGGATCCCTGTAATAAAAGATGGCCAGCTTGTATCCGTATAATAAAAGATGGCTAGATTGGATCTCTATAGGAACATATAGCCAGATTGGATTCCTATAATAAAAGATGGCTAGATTGGATCCCTATAATAGAAGAGGGTGATATTGGATCCTTATAATAAAACATGGTCAGATTGGATCCTTACAATTAAAGATGGCCAGATTGGATCCTTATAATAAAAGATGGCCAAATTGGATGCTTATAATAAAATGTGGTCAAATTGGATCCTTATAATAACATATGGTCAGACTGGATCCTTACAATTAAAGATGGCCAGATTGGATCCTTATAATAAAATATGGTCAGATTGGATCCTTACAATTAAAGATGGCCAGATTGGATCCTTATAATGAAAGATGGCCAAATTGGATCCTTATAATAAAATATGGTCAGACTGGATCCTTATAATGAAAGATGGCCAAATTGGATCCTTATAATAAAATATGGTCAGATTGGATCCTTACAATTAAAGATGGCCAAATTGGATCCTTATAATAAAATATGGACAGACTGGATCCTTATAATGAAAGATGGCCAAATTGGATCCTTATAATAAAATATGGTCAGATTGGATCCTTATAATAAAATATGGTCAGATTGGATCCTTACAATTAAAGATGGCCAGATTGGATCCTTATAATGAAAGATGGCCAAATTGGATCCTTATAATAAAATATGGTCAGATTGGATCCTTATAATAAAATATGGTCAGATTGGATCCTTACAATTAAAGATGGCCAGATTGGATCCTTATAATGAAAGATGGCCAGATTGGATCCTTATAATAAAATATGGTCAGACTGGACCCTTACAATAAAAGATTGCCAGATTGGATCCCAGTAATATAAGATTGCTAATTGGATTATTGTCCTCCTGAGAGGGTACGTAAAACCCAACACATTTAGAGTAAATTAAGGCTTGCCACGTTTTTAATCGTAGAATATGTGTGCTTATAATTTATGGCTAGATTTCTCTTCTGTCGCCAATGGCTGAAGGGATGGTGTAATTCCAACTAGGGTCCACGCAGGTAGCAAAAGTAATGTAAGTCCCCATGGTCCCTGGTATGGTGATCTACCTTCAGTTATTGGCGATTTATAGCCCATTTCTATACTGTATTGTTTTTCCCCTATAGTTAAAACGTTTTAGATTTAATTACTACTTTTACATACATATCTGTGATAGTCTAGTTGTTTTACTTTCCTTCGTCGGCAGGTTTTTTATAATATACATATATTTCATTTCAATATCAAATGTTCTCCTCACGATATGGCTGAAATATTGCCGATGTGACGTTAAATATTAACTCACTCACTCACTCACTAAATTGGATCTCTATAATAAAAGAAGGCTAGATTGGATCTCTCTAGGAACAGATAGCCAGATGGTATCCCTATAATAAAAGATGGTTAGACTGGAATCCTTATAACAAAAGATGGCCATATTTGATCCTTATAATAAAAGATGGACAGATTGGATCCATGTAATAAAAGATGGCCAGATTGGATCCTTATAAAAAAGATGGCCAGATTGGATATTATTATAAAAGATGGCCAGACTGGATCCATTATAATAAAAGATGACACGATTGGATCACTCTATGAACAGATAGCCAGATTGGATCCCTATACTAAAGGATGGCTAGATTGGATCCCTATAATAAAAGATAGCTAGATTGGATCTCTGCAGGAAGAGATGTCCAGAGTGGATCTCTACAGGAACACATGGCCAGATTGGATCCCTATAAAAAGGATGGCCAGTTTGGATCTCTACTGAACAGATGGCCAGATTGGATCCCTATGATAAAAGATGGCCACATGTGATCTCTACAGGAACAGATGGCCACATTGGATCCCTGTAATAAAGTTGGCCAGATT